AGTCCTATCCAAACACACACGCGCATGCACACACACAAACACATGAACAAACACACACATAACAGACACAGTTAACAAATGGGAAACTCTAGAGGGAGAGTTGAAGTGAGATGTTTTTGGTTTTATACTGTGCAGACCTTGTGCCTGGTAGGCAGGTCTGATTCCCCTGAGCTACATCTCCAGCCTACTGTGATATTTAATTTTCCAATAGATACTTAAGAGTTCCTGAGTGCACAAAAGTAGGGCTGAGACTCTTGACGCCTCGGTCCAGAGAATGCTAGAGAGTTTCTTATACAACTCTGGGCTTTCTGGATTGCGATAAGAACACAGGATCTCTGAGTGAAGATGCTTGTAGATGTGTTTTATGGGTCACCATAAGAGACACCATTAACCACGTGGTATTAGGAAGAGCAGTGGTTCCCAGAGTGGCTTACCTCATATTTCTTAATTCACGGAAGGACCTGAGTCCGAAAGCCACAACACGAACAGTAAACCTTCTTGTGAAGATAGAGTTAAACTGACGGGCAAAAATTAAGTGGAAAGGGACTTCAATTAAAGTTTGTTATCTTAATAAAATCATAGAGAAATCAGTCCATAATTGAATCTAAGTGTACAAGGTCTGAACTTGGGGCACTCCCTCTTCTGTGGGCGTGCAAGCACATGCACACTGTCGTCTTCTCTCACTCACCACCTTTTTCTTTTGAGACAGAGTCTCTCGTTGTGCCTGGAAATCACCGAGAATTAGAATCCTTCCATGATGCTTTGTTTTCTAACACTGACAAAAATTCATTTACTTGTTTTCAGGTGGTGGTGGCACACACTTTTAATCCCAGCACTCGGGAGGCAGAGGCAGGTGGCGTGGCCAGCCTGGGCTACAGAGTGAGTTCCAGGACAGCCAGACTGTTACACAGAGAAACCCTGTCTCTAAAAACAAAAACAAAAACAAAAATTTTCAATGTTCTAAATCGTCTTTTCTCTGTTTTCTGGGAATTTAGAGAAGAATGGGAGGAAGTGAGTTTTGGAGTGGACAGTGGAATTACAGAAGTGGTGGAGGGAGCCGCAGTGTGGATACCCTCCCTATTAAGGAGCTTCTACATTATTTTATGAAAAAACTATGTAGGAGATGGGACCTAACCAGAGATATTTTGTATAAGGGTTAACTATGCTGGAAATGTGTCAAGTAAGTTATGGGAGCACTTGGAGGCCATTAAAATGCATCAGGTGAGAAGCTATTCACCCTCAACAGTGGAGAGGCAGCATGCGGCCCTTGCACTGCTCAGACCCACTGCAGACACTGAGGCAGGGCTGGCTGAGAGGCTGGCTGAGAAAGGTCAGTTATGCAGACAGCTGATCCCAGGACCCCTGTGCTGCCCAGCCACAGACCACCTGGGATGCCTCACCAACATCTGCTTTGATCTTCCCAGTGTCTCAAATCAGTACTTTTTAATGAGTTAGCAACACTTAACAAATCAGAAACTTCTTAATTTAGAAGTTTTTACTTTTCTTAGTATATCAGAAGATCAGGGAGTCCAGACAACGGGCAGCCATCCACCACAGCCTCAGTTTCCACACTGCTTCATCCCAGGTGCATTGCCACCCTGTTCTCCACAGACATTCGCATTCTCAGTCATTACCTTCAGGCTATCTCGATTTTCTCTGGTGTTTGTTTTCTTCTGACTTTACATCTGTGGGCTTGTCCCATATGGGGAAAGATGCCCTTAATTAGAGGGGTAACTCTCACTCTAAAGGGCAGGGACCTTTCCTAACTCAGCAGTCAGGGCAGTAAACATAAATTAGACTTAGCCACACTTAGTCACATTTCAGAGACTGACCAGTAACAAAATCAGATCTTAAAAACGATTTTTCAGACATTAGTTTACAATTTCAGTGAAGAATCTCCTGGCAGAGTAACCCTCCTCCTGAAGGCTGAAGGCCCTCCTGAACCCAGTACTACCTCATTTCACACACAATGGCATACCGATCCCACCCCAACCCTACTCTCTTAGATCACTGAAATGTTAACTGTGTGAGTTAGCACCCTGCCACCAGCCTGACATGAAGAAAGGGGTCAGGGAAAGGAGGGGAGGGCAGGGTACAGAGGAACCTGCCTGCAATCCCAGCACTTGGGAGGCAGAGGCCGAAGGATCAAAAGGTCAGTGTGGACCTCAGTTACATGATGAATTCAAAGTCAACTGGGGCTACATAAGTCTCTGTCCCAAAAACACAACAAAGTAAGAATAAAGGGGGTGCTGTGGAATAATGCTCTTGGATACTGCAAAGATTGGTTGGTTTAAAAAAATGCTGATCAGCCAGTAGCCAGGCAGGAAGTATATAGGTGGGCAACCAGACTAGGAGAATTCTGGGAAGAGGAAGGCTGGAGTCAGAGGTCACCAACCAGACACAGAGGAAGCAAGGTGAGAATGCTGCACTGAGAAAAGGTCCCAAGCCACGTGGCTAAACGGAGATAAGAACAATGGGTTAATTTACGTGCAAGAGCTAGTTAGCAATAAGCCTGAGCTACCGGCTGAGCATTGGTAAATAATATTAAGCCTCTGAGTCAGTTATTTGGGAAGCAGCTGCCGGGGTATTTGGGAACCAGCAGGTGGGAAAGAAACTTCCGCCTACAGGGGGGTGGTGAGGGAAAACTTTCCAAGCAATTCCCACAGCATTATAAACCAAAAGAGGCCAAAAGGGGCTGTGTGTCATCTCACTGGAAGACCTAGATCTTAAGTTGTTTTTCATTATTGGAATATTCCTGAAAGTTTTAGTTCTTTAAAAAGCACCATGAAAGTCGGGCAGCAGTGGTGCACACCTTTAATCCCAGCACTCAGGAGGCAGAGCCAGGTGGATCTCTGAGGCCAGCCTGATCTACAGAGCAAGATCCAAAACTACACAGAGAAACCCTGTCTCAAAAAATAAAAAACAAAACAAAACAAAAAAATAAGCATCATGAAACTAGGTATATTTTAGTCTTTAAACATGAATTTTAGCTATCCAAACCATAGAGTGTGAAGAGGTTAGAAATGTGTTTAAGCTGGGCAGATCTCTGAGTTCGAGGCCAGCCTGGTCTACAGAGCAAGTTCCTGGACAGCCAGGACTACAAGAGAAACCCTGTCTTGAAAAACCAAAAAGAAAAATGAAGGAAGGAAGGAAGATGTGTTTAAAATAATCATAGTTCTGAAATTTCTGATAATTCCCAGGAATACTGATTTATTGTCTCTGGACCTCAAAAAGTATCATGGTAGGAATTTGAGAACACTGAGAACTTGCCTTTTCTCACTATATGTTATAATTCTAAAATGTACTGTTGCTGCTAAATAAAATGTACTTTTACAAAAGAGAAGGAGACAGAAACCTAGACTTGAGCTTCAGTTCTAACACCGAAAGGGAGGTAGAAAAGGAGGGTGGGAGGAGGGAGGGCTCAGACTCATTCACACTGAACTCAAGCTAAAGACAAAGAGCTGTGATTACTTGCCATGTTCCAATCAACCATAGAGGAATGTCAGGAAGACAATAGAGGAATGTCAGGAAGAATGCAACAAGAATGCAGTAAAGTTATTGGTTATAGGATTAACATGCAAAAACGAGTGATTCCTCAATATAACTCATAGAAAAGATAGCATGAATGAAAATTCAAACATAATAGTAAACAAAACTATAAAATATCCAAGAACAAAATTAATACAAGGCACAAATAAAGTCAACTATCCTGTACAGGGAGCCAGCAAGGGCCCCTGGGGTTTAAAGGTTTCTGATCATTGCTGTGATTCATGCCTGTAATTCCCAGTTCAGGGCAACCAGGCAGGACTGTTGTGAATTCAAGGCTGTGTGAGTGGAAACCAGGCTGTATCACCAAGTGAGACCCTGTCTCTGAGTTAGAGACAGTTGAATCACCAGGGAGAGAGAAGATCTGAGAACCAGTGAGAGCTTGGTTCAGGTAAATGACCCCAGAGAACCCATGGCTTCTTTCCAGTGACATTTTGGGCCTAGTCAGGACCTGTATCTCCCTGCTCAGTTCTAAATCATGGGAATCTGGCCTAAAATGTTCAGGTTTTTCAGATGCACACTGGAAGCTGAACCATGATGCAGATAAGCAAGAGCCTGAGCCTCTCATGAATCAACTGAAATGTCAGGCAGGGAGAAAGGTCTCTAAAAAGATTGCAGGCAATACTCAAATAGCTTTTTAGCAGAGAGCGTCACACACTGTATGTATGGAAATTAAAAGAGTATATAAAGCTTTTACATTATTTTGGGACAGAAGCAAAAGGAAAAACATTCTGTAATATTTTTATGCAATAAGAAATTCCCAAATGCACAATTCTTAATACTTCAGATTTTGTGACCACTGGCCTTTACTTGATTTCAGAATTACCATTACTCTCTAGACAAAAAATAGTATCCTGAGAAAACTATAGTACAGCTGGCTGTGGTGGAGCAAGCCTGTAAGCCCAGTACTTGGGAGGCAGAGGCAGGAGAGAGGGTGTTCAGTGTCATCCCTGGCAACATATGAAGTTCAAGGACAGGCCCTATCTCAAAACCAAGAGAGAACAAACATTTATAATGTAAACAAGTGGTTTGAAGCACCAGAGAAACATCTGTTTACATAGCAATAATTAATATTGTAAGGGTCCTTATCTATAAATTCATGAAGGTCATCTAAGGACTTTATAGATAACACTTCATTAGCCAAATAATTATGAGTATATATAGCTGGAATAATAAAATGAACATCTGCTTTAAAGAATGCTTTTAATTTTATGCCTTTTGCTAAATCAACCCCACTTTTATAACTTCCTATCGATTACTGAGGTTTTTATATAACAGAATAAACAGCCCTCCCCTGAAAACAGAAATAGGAATCCCTGTTGTAGCCAGGTGTGGTGACAAATGCCTGTGACCCGTCACCTGGGAGACAAGACTGGGAGGACTGCCGGGAGTGTGCAGGCAGCCTGGGATACACAGTCAAAACACAGAAACGAAGAAATGCTTTTTCTGCTCACCTTGGCTGTTCTCCATTCCCAACCATCGCCTATCTGTTGTGAGTGTCTGATGAATTCTGCACAATAGTGTTGGAAGCTTTTTTCTCCAAAGAACTCATCTTCCATGTTAAATGAGAACTGCAATAAAAATGAAGAAACAAAGTTGGGTAGGACAACGGAAACCATCCTCGGGGTCGGTCATGAGAGTTTTCACTTCCCATATGCCCACCCTGTCTTCCTTTGTGTTGTACACGACACGAAAACCTAAAAGCCTATACTTAAAACAGAGTATTTATCTATGGAGCCTTCTTTGTTGGATTTTTAGTTGTTCAAGAGGGAATCTTGTCGGGTTTTCTTTTTTGAATTGCTGGGCATTGAACCCAGGGCCTCAAACATGCTAAGCATACACCCTACAAATTAACGGATCATTCAACCACATATTCTAGGGTGTTTGTTTGTCTTTATAAGGACAAGGGTGATACTGAACGTAGTATAAATCCTCACTGTTAATTTTATCTGATTCTGAGATAATGCTTTCAAACATGCTCCTGAGAATATGTCTGCTTCCTGCCTCAGCTCTTACACTGACTGTTACAGCGACGCATGGGGGCCAACTGCCCTTCACGCTTTAGTAGAACGGTCAACTCTCCAGCAAATATTGTTGCAAAGCTTGAAATTGCTTTCCAAGGTATAAAGTTAATTAATTACTACTAGATCAAACTCACAAATGTGAAATACCAAGAAATACTCATATATTTGTTGAAGAAAGCTGTTCAAAACATAAAACATTGTTTACAGAAAATATTTTAGCACATAAGAAAAAGGCCAGATCATGTAGTTGAGACCTCTCAATGAAAGAAGCTAGATACAACAAACGCTCATTGTCATTAGCTATGGGCATCAAGACTGTCGCTTATTATATCAACTGCTACAAAAGACACTTCGCATCTCCATTTGAGCCCCTCACAACCCAAAGGTGTGTCATCTCCATTCCTTCGATGACAAATCAAAAGGAATCTGTTCACAAACGCAAATAAAAAGGGACTCGGGGCCACGACCTGTCTATACAAGCTGATTGCCAACCCACTAGGCAGACTGTCCAAATTCAGCATAACCTATATAAGAATGTGTCTATTCACCCAATAATAAAAGTTGGATGCATATTAAGTAGGCACTATGCATAGAGAAAAGTTAGATATGAAAAAAGCAGACACTTTGCCTTGTAAGAGCTCACGTTCTAAGAAAGGGAGATAAACAAAAAAACCCACTCATTTCAGTAGAAAGTGCCTTAGCAAGCCTCAATTCACCACCGTGTGAGTGACTGACACCACCTGCAGCCGGCTGTGGCCCACTGGTTCTGCAGCATGATGACCATAAAGCACTCTGCTCCTGAGAGATGAATGTATGTTCACAAACCATATTCTTGTATCATAAGTATGGAGTTTAATTAAACAAACCAATAAAATATTGGAAAGGAAGAAGTCAAAGTATTGCTATTTGCAGATGATATGGCAAGTATACATAAGTGACCCCAAAAATTCTACCAGGGAACTCCTACAGCTGATAAACACCTTCAGCAAATTGGCTGGATACAAGATTAACTACAAAAAAAAATCAGTAGCTCATATATATATATATATATATATGTGTGTGTGTGTGTGTGTGTGTGTATACACATACGTGTGTGTGTGTGTGTGTGTGTGTGTGTGTGTGTACACATACATAAGACAAACAGGCTGAAAAAGAAATCAGGGGAACAACACCCTTCACAATAGCCACAAATAATATGAAATGTCTTCTGGTAACTCTAACCAAGCAAGTGAAAAAGACCTGTATGATAAAACCTTCAAGTTTTTGAAGAAAGAAATTGAAGAAAAGAGCAGATGGAAAGATCTCCCATGCTCATGAATTGGTAGGATTAACATCATAAAATGACCATCCTACCAAAAGCAATCTACAAATGCAATGCAATTCCCATCAAAATTCCAACACAGTTCTCTATGGACCTTGAAAGAAAAGTACTCAACTTCATATGGAAAAACAAAAAAAAACAGAAACCCAGGATAGCTCAAACAATCCTGTACAACAAAAGAATTTCTGGAGGTATTACTATCCCTGATTTCAAGCTGTACTACAGAGCTATAGTAATAGAAACCACATGGTATTATCATAAAAACAGATAGGTCAATCAACAGAATTTAATCAAAGACCCAATCAACAGAATTTAATCAAAGACCCAGATGTAAATCCACACACCCATGGACACCTGATTTTTTGATGAAGAAGCCAGAAATAGACAATGGAAAAAAGAAAATACACATCTTCAACAAATGGTGCTGGTCTAACTGGATGTCCACATGTAAGAGAATGGAAATAGATCCATATGTATCAACCTGCATAGAAGTCAAGTCCAAGTGGATCAAAGACCTCAACACAAAACCAGATGCACTGAACCTAATAGAAGAGAAAGTAGGGAATAGTCTTGAACACAATGGCACAGGAGACAAGTTCCTGAACAGATCACCAAAGCACAAGAACTAAGACCTACAATTAATAAATGATCACGAAACTGAAAAGCTTCTATAAGGCAAAGGATACCATTATTTGGATAAACAACAGCCTACAAAATGGGAAAAGATTTTTACCACCTCCACATCTAACAGAGGGCTAATATCCAAAATATATAAAGAATTCAGGAAATATATATATCAAAATATATAAAGAATTCAACAAACCAAATAATCCAATTTTTAAAAAATGGGGTACAGATCTAAACAGAGAATTTTCAACAGAGGAAACTCAAATAGCCAAGAAACACTTAAAGAAATGTTCAACATTCATTCCATCTTATACCTGTCAGAACAGCTAAGATCAAAAACACAGGTGACTGTTGTTGGATTTTCTTTTACTCTAGCCCCACCTTGGAACACCAAAATGTTGTTGGTTGTTGCTCTTTTTTGGGGCTTATCCTTAATTATAAATGCTTGGCCTTTAACTTGGCTTGTTTCTTGACAGCTTTTTAAAAAATTATCCTGTCTACCTTTTGCCTCTGGGCTTTTACCTATCTCTACTTCTGTATATTTTTTCTTTACTTCTTACTTCGTGGCTTGCTGTGTAGCTGGGTGGCTGGCCCTTGGAATCCTCCTCTCCTCCTTTTCTTGCTTCTTCTTCTCTTCCTCCCAGATTTCTCCTTCTATATATTTCTCTGCCTGCCAGCCCCACCTATCCTTTCTTCTGCCTCACTATTGACCATTCAGTTCTTTATTAGACCATCAGGTGTTTTACACAGGCAAAGAATCACAGCTTCACAGAGTTGAAACAAATGAAACATAAAGGAATACAACATATCTCTGCATCATTAAACAAATGTTCCAGAGAATAAACAAATGTAACACACCTTAAAATATTCTACAACAAGTAACAGCTCATGCTGGAGAGGATATGGAGCAAGGAGAATACTCCTCCATTGCTGGTGGAAGTGTATGTAAACTTGTACAGTTGCTTTGCAAATCAATATGGCAGTTTCTCAGAAAATTGAAATTGAGCTACCTCAAGACCCAGCTATACCACTCCTAGGCATATATCCAAAGGACGTTCCATCCTACCACAAAGACACTTGCTCAACAATGTTCATAGCAGCTTTATTTCTAATAGCCAGAAATTAGAAACAACCTAGATGTCCCTCAACTGAAGAATGGATAAAAAAAAAATGTGGTAATTTACACAATGGAGTATTACTCAGCTGTTAAAAACAATGACATCATGAAATTTACAGGCAAATGGACAGAACTGGAAAACATCATCTGAGTGAGATAACCCAGACCCAGAAACACAAACATGGTATGTACTCACAAGTGCTTATTAGCTGTAAAATAAAGGATAACTATGCTACAATCCACAGACCCAGTGAAGCTAAGTAACAGGGAGGGCTCAAGGAGGGGAAATGCATGGATCTCCCTGGAAGGGAAACAGAATAGATTTTGCTGAGGGGCTGGGGGCAGGTGGGGATGGGAACAGAAGGGATCATGTTTAGGGGTGGGGGTGGAGGGAGAGAGTAATGGGGGAGACGACTTGAAGGGGTTAAACTCTCCCATTCTCACAACTGAATTTAGGCTTCAGTTCTCTCAGGGGCAAACAGGTGTCTCTCCCAACAAAGGGCCATTTATCAACAAATGACATTCAGGAAGGAGGGAGAGGGCATGACCAGGGCCTGGGTCAGCCCCACAATGTCTCCTGGGCAGTTCCTGTAACACCTTGAAACTTACCCAAATATGTCCAAAGATAAAACCTCAGCCAGTTAAAAACGTACTAATATAACTGCTGCTTGTTTAACCAACCATATTAGAGATGACCTAATTGTTCCTGAAATTCCCCTAGCTGTGCTTAAAGGGAGCCTGAACGCTCAGGGTCATCGCCATTTTGTGCAGGTGAACAACCCTGCATGAATGCTGGAATATTAATAAATGTTCTTTGCTCTTACATACTATTTGAGACTGGGGTCTTCCTTCAGCATTTCCTCTGGACCCTACAGACTGGAACGGGGGTGGGGGTGGATTTGAGGGGCAAGGTAGAAACCTAGTACAATGGAAACTTCCAGGAGTCTACAAGAGTGACCCTAGCTCAGACTCCTAGTAATGGGGGCTACAGAGCCTAAACCAGCCACCTTCTGTAACCAAGCAAGGCTTCCAGTGGAGGGATTTGGGACACCAACCAAGCCTCAAACCTTAGACCTACAATTTGTCCTGCCTGCAAGATGTGCTGGGGTAAAGGTGGCACAGAAATTGTGGGAGTGGCCAACCCACAGTGGCCAACTGGTCCAGCTTGAAACCCATGCCAAGAGGGAAGCCAGATCTGACACTGTCAGAGGGCCAGGAACCAGAGGCTAGATAGCCCAGAGACCCAGAATAGAACCAAACACGACCAGAAAAAAAACAAAAACAAAAGCAAAAAACAAACAACAACAACAAAAACCCAACAATGAAATGATTCTTAACGATACTCTTCTACACTCATAGACCAGAACCTAGCATAATTGTCATCAGAGAGGCTCCATCCAGCAACTGATGGGAATAGACGCAGACCCACAGCCAAATTATTAGGCTGAGCAGGAAGAATCTTGAGAAAGAGGGGAAGACAGA